AACATTTTTGTTTGATTCCAGAATCGTCATTAAATATCATAGTCTGATCCCTAGAATTCGAGTGTACACATGTGCTGCTTCCTCTGTAGCAGAAACAGTACAGTGTTTGCAGACCCATGCTCAACAAAAGTCACTTGAATGGACACCCTATCAAGAGACAGTTTGCACAAATTTCAGATTCTTTCAGTCTTCTGCTGGATAATCTGCAGTTGCATCACTATAACATTGTAGCTTGAAGGTAACCTAAAATTTTGTTTGTATAGCGGTCGTAGGATCAGTGTGTGGTTTGTGTTGGAAGGGACCTTTAAAGACCATCTAGTCCAGCCCCTCTGCCAGGAGCAGGGACATCTTTCACTAGATCAGATTGCTTGAAGAAGCCCCGTCCAACCAAATAGATGTGCATGTGTGTTTGTGTATATACCCACACAGTTGCATGCCAGTGCTGCTTGTTTCTGTACAATTGTAGATGAATAACTCCACATCTATGGGTAGAGGAAAAACTGCAGAGGCTATCATAGGTGAGGGGTAGTAGCACTTGATTTTGGGTCTTTCAGCTCATAAATTGATGCCGTGAAAAGCCGGAGTTGGAGACTAAATAGTTGGCAGACTATTAAGCAGGTATTCCTTATTGCGGCGCCGGGCACACAGGGATCTCTCCTCCGTGTGTGCGCGCCGAACACCCTGACATTTCAGGTTAAACACAATCACAATATACATATTCACTATGTTTCCAAGAAATGATTAGCATATTCATGACTGTTCCAATAACTAATTAGCTTATGTTAATATCTTTCACACATGTCTGTTAGCGTCCTTGGGTGGTCTATGGGGGTTCTAAGATGAAGGCTTTATACACCTCATCACAGCGTCTGCTGTTTGACCTTTGTTTCTGCGCAGACTCAGTTTTAAGATCAGTATACCATGTCCCTCCAGGTTGTTTTGCTCTGGTCTTGTTGCCTGCTTGGTGCCTCTTTATCGCTGTAGCTTGGTGCATCTGCCCTCCCACGGCTGAGCTGTCTGCGGTAGAATTATTTAGGAGTCTCTCTATCTTAGAGCTTTCCTGTCTTCTCAAAACAGCAATGATATACTTTAGTTTAATTACAATTGCTCTACGAAGTGGAAATTTTACATTTATGGGTGTCAAATACGTAGTTGAAATGTATTGCTCTTCATGGGTGTCAGCTGTAAATCACTTTTATGTTCAGAGTTTATATACTGTAATCTTTCTTCTCGGACATCAGTTGTTACTACCTATGCAAAATCCTGGTGGTAGGATAAAAAATTGTTCTTAATAACCCATATGTTGGATGAGCCTGTAGGATACTTAAAAAAAAAAAGTTGAAATTTGAATGGCTGATTTCTTATACCGCAGGAAAGTGTTTGGTGAGATTTTTAGGGAAGGAAAAAAAGTGACACAAACCAAAACTGGGCGTATATTTTTATTCCCCCTGTTATTTAGGAGGTATTTTAACATAAAGGTTGCCTTTGGGGGGAGTGGTGCAGAAGACTTGCATATGATGATCCTTTCTATTTGTATGGTAAGAATCAGGGAGTCTGAGTAACATACGTGTTTCATCCAGCTTGTTAGTGCTGAAACCAGGGTACTGCTTGAACCGAAACATCTACCAGCAGCTCTGAGCTGAGTTATGGATATCAAAATACTACTGCAAAAATAAACTTTGTAAAACAGCTTTATTGTTTCTGTCTTAATGTTGTGTCTTCCTCCCTGCTCTGAGAGTATGATTGTGCTATTCTTATTAAAACTGGTATTATTGACAATCTGTAGGGCTTGTGTTTTTAGTCTGACACTTAAGCTTCTGTGAAACGCTCCACAATAGTTAGAACAGTATCAGAAAAAGTACTCATCTAATTTCCACATTGCTTTTTTAGCAATTGTGCTGTGATCTAGGAAGGTTTGTAAAAATGAACAAGAAAAACACCTGGGCTGGTGAGTAGCTGCAGCAAGTCAAAAGAATGCCTGCAGCTGCGCAGCTGGTGACTTCTGCTGTCATCTGTTGGGTAAATCAGTGCCTAACTGGTAGGCTGTGGCATGTCTCTTTTGAAAGTTAATGGCAGTCTGTAAAGACTAGTATAACTTGTTTTGAATGTGTCAGTTTGGATCCAAAAATGCTCCTTGTGGTGGTTTTGCTATATCTGCTGCTATTAACAGAATTACACTAAAAAGGCGATTGTTTCATAAGTCATCTTGTATACATCCAAACAAGGAGTTTCCACTCTTCCTTAACAGTATACCTTATTGCTGAGTACATCAGAAGCACGTTCAAAACTTGTTTTCTGCTTTTATGTGGAACAGGACATTCTTAGAGACTCATAATAAAATTTTATAATAAAATGTTTTGCATTTTGTGAGTTAATTTTTTATTTAATTTTATATGATTTTCTGTATTAAGAGTTTTAAGATATTTGCATGATGGTATTAAATGCGTTGTTTTGTCATGCCTCATATTTAAGAATCCTAAGGTTTATGGGTTTTGGTTTGTTTTTAATCAAATAAATGAGACTTAGTTACATATTCTTTGAAAGTTAAGATGTTGCCAAAGTGCATCAATATATTTTCAGAAAACGAGGTTTTATCCCTCCTTATTAATATCTTCAGAACCATCAGTGTGAAACTGAAATGTAAATTGTATTCAGAATGCTAGTTTTAGGAAAACTCAAGTTTCATTTGGTTTCAGCAAAAATCTTAGGGTGAGTTTTTGAATTAGTGACAGTTACTGGCTTAGTTTTTGGAAAATCAGTTTGAATGGCTGAATCAGGTTTTCAGTTCAGTAGCCATGATGTGTCCTGATGTTCAGAGAACATGGTGAAAACCCTTGATTAAGTGCGAGCAAATTAATAGCGACTTTAAAAGGTTTAGGAAGTAATTTTCCTTTTTAGAGGTATGATTTCAAATTTGTGGCACAGTAATGACTGGGGACATACCATAAAAAAAGAAAAGCCAGCTGGTAGAAATCCGCAACTTTTCTGGTGTTTTAATTATCTTTGTAAAGATAGCTACTTAACAAAGTACTGTGTATAGATATTTTAATTTCAGTGGTTATGTTTTTGCCATGTATTGGAAATCTGGGGGGGGGGATATAATACATACAGCTGTCACGAAAATACTTACAGCTTCTTGTGAAAGGGTGTGTTAGCTTCTACATCTGAGGGATTTTCACAGTTTGGTTTGGGGGGTGTGTGTTTGGTTTATGTTTTTTGGGGCTTGGGGGGTTTGTGGGAGGGGTTTATTAGAATTATATAATTACAGTGACTACAGTTTATTCTCAACTAATACCTCATCTAGAGGAAAAGATTGGATCTCTCCTGTATGCTTATGCAGTGCTTATAAGACTGAATATGGTAGTATATCACAGCAGTACTCTGAATTCAAGGTTTTCATAATCAGTGACACTTCTGTGCAAATGTATTTTCATCCACAGTGAAATATTCTTGAGTTTAGTAGAAAAAGCAATCCTTAGGCTCTGTTCAAGTAAAGTAGTTAAGCAAGCTAATTGCTTCCTATTGTGTCTTCAAGGGCTTTTAAAAAGTTGAGTATTGTTGCCTTGGTATTGTTCAGCATTGTGCATCCACTGGGAGATTTCAGGAAGAGTTGAAATGTGGAAAAGCTAATAAGTTCCTGTAAATGAATTTTTAACTTTGATTTCATAAATTCTTACAAATTCCTGAGTTCTGAATGTCTAAGCCCTTCCAAACATAACACAGATCTTTCTAAAAGCTGCAAATTACGGCAGTTGGTCTCACTATTGCCATTTTTTTCTTAGGAGTTTTCCTTTGTGTTACTTTAGTGTTTAATGGGTGCGATTCATGGAAGAACTGGCAAGTGTTGTTACATGTAAATACACTTTCATCCGTAACAGTTTTACCACATAACAGTTTTACCACACCTCGAGGCATGTCCATTTATGTTCCCTTATTCAGTAAGGCACGAGGGTAAGGTACACTTTCTCACTCAGCTGGGTCGGTAGTTATGAGCATTCCTCTGGTTTTAACCCCTATGTGAAATTGGCGTCAGGTTCCCGAAACTGGAGTAAAAGAGGGAAGGCCAGTGCTGATTAACAAATTGCAGAGAATATGATTGCAGCAATTATATTTCTTAAGGAAATGAGGCTAAAAGGGTGATCAGACCTCACTTGTCTTAGCTGTGTGCATCACTGAAGTAATGGATTAATCTGGATAAATGTCTCCTGTCCAGAAATTTTAGTCTGAAATAAGGTAACCTGTAATTCTTCAAATTTTCAGGCGATCACAGGTTCATTAATTAAATCCTGAAAAGGACTTTAAAAAGTTGTTCTCACTTATCTCCCTCATCTAGAGGAATGTGATGACTAAATATTTTAGTAATCTGATGAGTTTAGGTGTAGAGAACTGCCAAAAACAACTGCATGTTTTCTATTAACCATTGACGTACTCAAGAAGTTGGTGGCTTGAGCAGTCATTGCAGTGGAATAGGTGTTTTTGATACCATTTATGTGTTGGATTTTTTCAACAGTCTTGCACAGGTATTCTGCTATGTGAGTGTGAGGGTGTTCGGTTTCTAATAAATGGAAATAGTTGATTTGTGCTTTACCTCTGGTCAAGGGAGTACAGTTTCTTCTAAACTAGTAGTCACTCTTCCCTGTGCTAAGCTCAGTGGTTTTTAAGAAGCTTTCCTTTCTGTTTGTAATTGACTTTGGTGTGGTATGCAACTTGCCTGTGAGTAAGAGGGAAAAATAGCAGCCCTAGTATTTATTTTGATGTATTTTTTCCTATATGCCTTCTGTTTGCTAAATGTTTTCAGAGTAACAGAATACAAAGGAACTTCTTGCTGAGTTTGAAAACACGCATTAAAGTGAAACAAAATACATTTATCTTAGACAAGTCAGTTAATATTTATCTTAACCAAATCTCAAATCAAACTATTTATACTTTACCTGTTCTGTTTTTCAGAGTACTGTAATTGAAAGTGCATCTTCTACATTTGAGGAAAGACAATTTCATGATTGAATGGTGGATTAATAAGTAGCTGTCTTATTCCAAGAGTAAGAAGATACCCTGTGAGTTGGGAAGAACTGGATTTTCACCCTAGTCCAGCAGCTTTGCTGCTCACTTAAACACAGATGAATGAAGACCCCATTTGGAAAATCACCAGGTCAGCGGTCCAGAGCTGATGCAGGTGAGATGTTTTTGTGGGTGGTTACAGTTGGGTTTAGTGGGTAAGAAGTGGTCTTGCTTACCAATTTTTTTTGTATACATGTATGTTGATGGTTTTATGAAGGTGTTACAATTCCTGTCTTAAAAGAACATTTGCTTTTGTTATAGAAGCTCTTGAATGGAAAAGGCATATGTAAATTTAATTTAGGATAGGAGCATATGAGAAGCGTTTAATATGGTCTATAATACCGAAGTTTTATTAGAACATCGTTACATAAAATGCTAAAAAGGAACAAAATCAATGTTGTAGGATTACATTGACATTTAAGGGGAGAATTTATCTTCTCAGAAGTGCTGGAACATAAACAGATTTATTCACCATATATCTGTAACGTAGAGTAAAACTCTAAATGATTTTGTAGAAGCTGATCAGCTAGTAACTGTAAAAAAGAATCTCTTGGAAACTACAAAAATGCAAATACTGTTGCTAGTGTATGTGCTTTCTAAAGTGAAATAGGTTGGTCAAAGTATTTTAAAGCAATTTTCAGAGAAATGAACAGTGTGAGTAAGGGTTCATCCTTTTAGGACTAGTTAAACTTATTCACAGTCTTGCAGCTTGAAAGACTGATGAATCTCAGTCAGTCTTGTGTGCTCTGTAGTAAGGATTGTCAGCAGTGATGCAAAAAAAGCATCAAGTGACCCACAAAGAATTGCTCAGTAAATTGATACTTAGTCCTGTGTAAATTAGACTAGACTCTGCTTTGGCCGTGCATTCTGCCAGAACTAGTGTGGGACAGGGACTAAAAGTTACTATTTGCAAGTGACGAATTCTACAGACCAGCAGTGTGAGATGAAAGGGTTACAGGTGAATGTTGTTCATTGTTCTATTCAATTATTTGCTTTTTAATAAGAATTAAAAACTGATTTAGGTAATGTAAATTGTTTTGTATATTTAGTAATTTTTTTCCTGTTATGAAATTACTTTGTGTTTCCCCGGGGCGGGGGGGGGGCGGGCTGGAAGAGGGAGGAACGCCCTTTGTATTTTGTGCTACAGTGAAACTCACTAGTCAGTGACCTGTGCGGGGAAAGGCTTTGTAGACAGATGATGCAGCACATTTTCTATCGCCAACCATTGCGAATTGGTGCTTCTCTAAAAATCTCAAGAAACCAAGCAATTGGGAAAGCTCAGTTAACTTTTGAAAGAGCCACTCAAGTGTCCATTCTGGTGCTTTCAAATCCTTATCTAATTCATTGAAAACTGAAGCAACTGATACTGGAAAATTTCTCTGAAACCCTTTGGAAACTTTCAAAACTGTGTTTACCTGTGATTATCTTACACTAATGTTAATTTGCTGTCACTCATTTGAAACATCTACAGATTTCAAAGGTAACTTCAGCAAATATTTTGTATAAATGGTTTCAAAGGAGAAACCCAGTACAAGGTCTTGAACACTTGATTCGGTGAGTTTTCATTTAGTCAACTGATGAGTCATCCTTCTGCTTGACACTGGGAGAATACCAGTGGGAGTAGAATTGCACTTTTAAGAAAGGAGAGCAGGCTTTGACCTGGTGCTTAACTTCAGTCTTGTTGACTTCTGAGCATTAACTGGGCACTGTGCCCAAGTTCAGAGAATTCGGACACTAGGTTTTTAAGGCAACTGTTAGAAGACTTTTATCTAATGACTTCAGTGTGATATGGGATGAACAAGAACACTACAGCACAGATTTGAAGTGTCATAACATGAAATTTATGTAGAGGGTGATTACGTGGCTCAGTTTTTTATGGTGGAAAACCTTTAGTAAAGCTAGGACATTTTACTTAAATATGTTGAGAAGAAAGTTTTTCTTCAGTTTTTTTTGACTCTTTAAAACAAATTGAGGCAGAAGTCACAGATTTATTTTCAAGAGTCCCGTTCTCCATTATTTCTTCATTATTATTTGTCGTATAGCTGGCACTATGTGAAATTGTCATTAAAATTTACATATTTTAGATACCATTTTTGCTTTTCTAATATCTCTATACAGCAGTTACAATTTGTCTTTATCTTTTTCTCTGTGAAGTTTTTTAATCTCAACTGAGAAGTCCTTAACTTATATTTGTTTGATTAATGCAGTATCAGTGTCACTTAAATACAAAATGTATTTAAATGTGTAAATCATACACATTTGGTCTGCCTCAACTGTTGGCACAGTTGTGGCCTAGGCTTGCATGTTGCCAGCTTTCGGTCTCTGGCTTTGTGTTTTTGAGGAAGACAGCTGCTGACCTTGCTGTTGTTGCTGCTTCTCCTAATCATATTGGGTGGGCTGAGGCTAGATAGCTTTTACTGCTTTTGGCGGGCATGGAGGGGAGAAAGAGGGGTGTGGGATTGTCTACTCTTTATTTCTTCATTATGGATACGCATTAGGAGAGAGTCCAGCAGGCAGCCATTACTAGGCAACTGCATCTTCCACTCTGCAGCAAAGACTGGGCATGGGACTTTTAAAGGCAGCTGCTGAGCAAGGAGGACAGAACATTTATCACAGCAGTTCTTTCACTGATAGTGGTCAAATTCTTCGTTTGAAGAGAACAACAGGTGCAGTACTTGAGTTAGTTGGAGTTCATATAATGATTATTTTGGTGGCTGGAAGACAGGCCTTGCCAGTGTGATGTAAAGGGCCACAAAGATGATCAGAGGGATGGAGCACCTCTCCTACAAGGACAGGCTGAGAGAGTTGGGGCTCTTCATCCTGGAGAAGAGGAGGCTCCGGGGAGACTGAGGTCTTTCAGTTTATAAGGGGAGCTTATAAGAAGACAGAGAGGCTTTTATTTTTCCCAAGGCCTGTAATAACAGCACAAGGAGTAGTGGTTTTAAACAGAAAGAGGGTGGGTGTAGATTGAATATAAGGAAGAAATTATTTGCCATGAGAGTGATGAGACACTGGAACAGGTTGTCCAGATAAGTTGTGGATGCCCCATTATTGGAGGTGTTCAAGCTCAGGTTTGATGGGACTTCGAGCAACCTGGTCTATTGGAAGTTCCCTTTTCCCGGCAGTGGGTTTGGGCTAAGTGATCTTTAAAGGTCCATTCTGTGATTCACCAGAACACCTGTACAAGAAATTCCTGTACATTAACAAGTAACTTTTAAACTGGATTTGCTGTGCTTTACAGCGTTATTGATGCAAATACCTTATTTTGACATTTAGTATCTTCCTATTTTAAAGATGGTCGCCACTTCCAGGAGACTGCGTGAACATGTCGTGTTTCAGAACATGTGTCTCAGAACAACTAGATACTTCAAGTAGAAAATAAGTTTCTAAAAGTCATGGCTATAAAGTTGCTGTCATCTGGGAGTAGATAACACAGCAGTAGTATATTCTTTCTATTATTCATTTTCCCTCCTGGTTAAAAGATATGGAGAAAGCATAGAAATAGCTTACAAACTTTATATTTGATCTTTTAAATCATGTAAAACCAAAAAATTGTGGGATTCTGGGAGACTCCTGGATCATGTACAGGCTACAAAAAATTATCTGGAGGTATAGCTAAACTAGTGGTTGTGTTGGGTATTCAAACAGGCCAATAGAATTACTGTTACAAAATTTAATGTGTTACCAAGGGTTTTTTGCAGTTGACTGTGATTTAATCTCATTGTAGAGACTTATTAATCAGTGACACTACAGGTGTTGTGACTTCTTTGGAAAAGCCAATTTTCATCTGTCCTGTCTGTCTGCCTACAGAGGAGGTGCTTTTATTTGCTGTAAAGTAGGTGTAGAGGAAGAGGTACATTTGATTAAAATATCTAGGCTTTTGAACTCTCTGTGTACTGGAAATAATCCTTCATAGTTCCGTCTTGAGAAAGAAATGGTAGGACTGAAGATGAAGAAAAGAAGGAAAGCTAAACTTTGTATTTTTTTCACAACAGTAGATTACATGGCTACAGCCTCTATGAGTTTCTCAAAGTATAGAGTTGCTTTCCGGCATATAGTTTCAGTAGATCAGCCAGGTGCTCCTGTGCATGGCAGTCTGTCTGTCTCTCTAATTAGTGTATGTCTGTCTCCAGTATAGGGGAGTACAGATTTAATTTTTAAAATTAACATTATGTAGCATAATTGATTGTAAAATAGGTTGTAATTACCCTTTTGTTTACAATTGCATTTGGCCTTTTTTAGTCTAGTGATCAGCTGTTTAATGCTGTGTAAGTGAAAGGCATGGTCCTCTAGAGTCCTTCCTAGCAGTTAACTCCCAGAGGCAGAGAATCCCTCCAAACTGCCTGATGGTCAGGAGCAACTGTAATGCCTTTACGGCATGGTTTGAAAACACAGAAGTAATTTTTTAGTAAGGAAAAGAACCAGGAGATAATAAGTTGTATACAAGCTTTTGCAGTTTTTTCCCCCTTTAAATTGTTTCAGTACTGTGTTTGTGAACGAAGAAAAGGGATCCCACTCCTAGATGTGGCTTACATAGGATTGCAGTGAAATCTTTTGACAGAGTCAGAATTCATTTTTTCACTGCACTTCTGGTCTACTTTGATTAAAAGAACTCTCTTCCTTTCCCAAACTTTTAAGTTGATCTTGAGTGATACTAGGTGTGAATAAGCATTTTGACATATTTCTTAGGTCCCCTTCTAGTTTTGCTGTTGAATTTTAAGGATCTGTTATGAGCAGAATTAACCGAGCCTCAGAAAACGCACAGACCGCGTGACAAACAAATGCTTAATTCTGTTGCTGTTGCCTGGGAGTTGGAGTTTGTGTTCACTTTCTAGTATGAAAAATGTGTTTCTGTGCTGTCTTATATGTGACTGAGACATAAATATTTTCTCCTTCCTCAGATGCATCAAAGTTTGAGTCTTTGCTGCTTATTACAAAGAAGACTAAAACTAATCCATGTACTTTGATTTTTCTTCAGTATTATTTTTTTCTATGTTTGTGTTCAGAGCAATTTAGTTGTACAGAGTATTTTGAGTGTTATCCAAAATAAGGAATTTTGTGGGGTGTTCTAGTTAGAACTTGTCTTTCTGTAGTTAAAAGGAGGTAAAGAAAGTG